ACGTCCACCCCCTCTGCATGGTGCTGGGCATGGTTTTCCTCCAAGGGGACGGTGAGCAGGACTGCAGGGCAAGCTGCAGCCTTCAGCCCCCCCGAGCTGCAGCGGGGCGGGGAGTGAAGGGACGAAATGGGGACAAATGAGACCGGGGTGATACTCCAGCATCTGCCCCCCCGACCTGCATGCAGCACCCCTGGGTGCTGGGGAGGGCGGGGGGCCCCCCACGGATGCTGAGGTGCCCTCTCTCCGGCAGCTCTCCTGGTCTACCGGGTGTTCAGGCACGAAGCCAAGCGCTCCACCAAGGCGCTGCACGCGCTGCTCCACGGCCTGGCGCTGCTCATCGCCCTGGTCGGTCAGTGCCGGGGCCGGGACGGGCGGGGGGCCGGGTCCTGCCCCGGCGGTAACGGACTCCTCTCCGCAGGCATCGTCGCCGTTTTTGAGTTCCACCAGACCAAGGGCATCCCTGACATGTACAGCCTGCACAGCTGGTGCGGGATGGCCGCCTTCGTGCTCTACCTCCTGCAGGTGAGGGCTGGGGAGCCCCTGGGCCCCCGGGGAGGGGAAGGGACCCTGTAACACCCCCGTGTCCCCGCAGTGGCTCCTGGGCTGCGGTTTCTTCTTGCTCCCCGGCGCCTCTTTCTCACTGCGTGGCCGGTACAAACCCCAGCATGTGTTCTTCGGCCTAGCCCTCTTCGCCCTCTCCATCGCTGTCTGCTTGCTGGGCATCACCGAGATGCTCCTCTTCAACATCAGGTGGGTAACTGAGCTGGGGACACGGTAGCCCCCAGACCCTCAGCAAAGGGGCAGAATCTGGCTCCTGCTCAGGCCGTGGCTCCGTGGCTATTAAATCTCCCCCCGAGGCAGTTAGTTCTGCAGCTGCTGAGTCACTTCCCAGATGATGTTTAACGAAGCCAGATCCTGCAACAGCTTTCTTTGGGGATGGGGATGTAATACCCAGGTGGTTTCAGAAACCCCCAGGATGTTCATGTCCGTGAGGCCTCTGCCCTCGTGGCTGGAGGACACAGTGATGGCCCCAGGTGCACATCAGGGTCCCCCCCAGCCCCAGCACTGTGGGGACATGGCTATAGGGCACCCCAGGAGCCCCCTACCTCTGTCTGGGGAGCCCACCTGGCAGAGGAGGTGCTGGGCTGCCTATAGCCCCGCTATAGGACTGTGCCCCCAGTTTGCTGTCACCAAGTGTCCCTCTCCAGAGCAACCAGCACCCAGGTGCTCCCCTCCTGCTCTGGTTCGGGGGAAAGGGACCTTTCACAGGGTGTGTGCCCAGAGGATGAGGGTAAGGAGGGGGTCCCAACCAGGGTAGGGACAGGCCACTCACACCCTGAGGCTTGAGCATCCTCCTTTGCCCTCTCAGGGACTCCTACAGCCACTTTGTGTCCGAGGGTGTCCTGGCCAACACCCTGGGGGTGCTGCTGGTGGCCTTCGGGCTGGTGGTGGGCTACGTGTTGACGCGGGATGACTGGAAGCGCCCGCCACTGGCCGAGGAGCTGGCCCTCTCCATGGACTTCAAGACCCTGACGGAGGGCGAGAGCCCCGGTGGCAGCAGCCAGTGACATCCCCAGCTCCCTGGTCCCCAGCACGGGCTCCTCGTGGTGTCTGGGATGTTCCTGTGTACCCCGTCCCCAGTGTCTGGCTCTGCCCAGCTCAGGGTGACAAGGACAGCTGGGGAAGGACATGCTTGTTGGTGTAACGCTGCCCGTTGGGTTCAGCCTTGCTTGGCCTTAATCTTCCTCAGCTCTGCCTGCGCAGCCCCCGGTGACCCCCCCGAGCCCACCCCAGTCCTGTGGGGATGGTGGTGCTGCAGGCAGGGGCAGGGGCTGGCAGTGGCAGTGGGACACGAAGGATGGGGGTCCTTTGGCTCTGCCCTGCGCTGGGGACCGGGGTGCAGGAGCCCAGATTTCCCTGCTGCGAGCTGCTGGAGCCCGAAGCCTGTTCTCAGTGCCGATGGGCAGAGGGGACACTTTGCCATCATTGAGATCCCCCACTCGCTGGCAGCCCATCGCCCTCCAGTGTGGTCACATGTGGGGGCTGCTCCCCCCAAAGGGCTTCCCGGGGGCTCGGAGCGACCTGGGGTCTGTGCAGGTTCAGTGTTTTCACATCTATCTCACAGCTCACATGTACAGACAAGAAAACTCTGCTCAAGCAAATACAGCAAAGGAAAAAATATGTTTTCTTTCCTTATACATGAGAGGCGAAGGCCTCCGCTGTCGGCAGGGGTTGCTCTTCCCACTGCACAATATCACAACTGTGTGGTGTTCAATATATCAGTAGAGAGAACAGAACATGCATTGAATAATATACTGTACAGAGAGAAAGTCCTTTACATCAGAATTATAGAAAAGCTAAAGGAAAATTTAAGTGTCTTAAAGATCTTCCCAGCAAGTGTCTCGGAGGATGGCAACCAGGGAATTGTACAAAGCACAAGGTGTGTGTACTGTACGTGTTTGTACCAAATCAGATCCTCTCGGATGTGAAGACAGAAGGGAGACGAAACGCTGAATGCAACACTATGGGAAAGAAAAGGCTGGACAGGGATGACACCGGCAGTACTGGCAGAGTCCACACGAGTCTCTGGGTTATCAGTGTAGCAACAAAACGGACTTTACGTAGCACACAGTGCTGCTCTCAGTGTCTGGCTTATCAGTGCACAGCGAGGCAGACCCACGGTGAAGCGACCCAGTTCCCTGGGCCTGACGCTTTCCCACCCACCCAGCACGACCCTGACCCGCCGGAGGAGACGACCCGCAGCCCCCACCGCCGTCCCTGGACAGCGTCACCTGGAAGGGACAAAGTCTTTTGGCAAAGCAGCCCTGTTTTCTCAACTAGAGGATGCGATCCCGTCAGATGGGACCCGGCTGCTGACTCCCCAGTACCGTGACAGCTAGAAAATGAGCAGGAGGAAAGGATTCAGCAGATGGGCTTGGTGTCCGTTGGCTTTCCCAGTGACGGTCGCGCTAGCTGTGTTTTCTCTCGGGTAGGTCTGTAACTGTTGCGGTGAGATCCAGCTGTATAGTCAGGAGTTGGACATGAACGCATCTTGCTAAAGAATTGAGCCCTTAGTGGTTTTATATTAGAAAAAAGAGTTTGATTGAATGAAAATCCAGCAATTATTCACACAAATCTCAAAAAAACGCAGATTAACTTTCAACCATTGTGCTTTGTGTCCAACACGCACCCCACCAGACTTCGCGTAGAGCAACCAGCAAGGGGTGAAGGCATTTATCCGCAGAGGTCCCAGCAGGTACAACAGCTCTTCCCCTAAGCCCTTGGTTAAACACCATTAATCCCAGTAGAAGAGTTATCTTGAATTCCCAAGACTAAAGCAAAGTACAACCACCAAAGAGCTCGCGACAGCTCACCACGGACCCACCTTTGCAAGGAAGGCGGAGGACTAGCAGGCACGCTGGCTTGCTTTTCTCTAGATAAGGCAGAGCTGGCACTTCGGTTTTAGCTAGACTTCTTCTGGGTAACCCTGAATATACAGCAACCTTTGTACAAGGGGACTGAATCGCTCTGAATTTAGTAGCCACCCTGGTTCCGGACCTAATCCAAGTATGGCTTAGGTATTTGTCATACACACACACAAATGTTCACACTAGCCAAGCAGTTTTCTTTACAGCCAGGATAAAGAAAAAAAACCCAAAAAGTTCAGTGCTCAGACAGACCCACCTGCCAGGCAGAGGGACAGACAGATGGACAGACGCACGCCTCGGTTCGTCGGGAGCCGGCCAGTCTGTGCCCTCCCAAGCAGCGACGCAGAGTGTGGCACCCCGGAGCCAGATCCCAAAGGATCTCTCTGTAAACCCCTCCCTTTCCTAAGCACTTCCAACGCCCACTAAAGGCTATTTTCAAAGCCCTCCGATGCCATTCCCAGCCTGGCTGGTGGGGACCCGGACAGAGCTCCCCACCAGGCGGGTGTCCCCTCCCCTGGGACTGGAGCATCCTCCCAGCCTGGGGGACAATGCAAAAGTGGGTGAATCCCTGAGGAGGGACGTGGTAGACACCCACACCCGCACCTGGGAAAGATTTCAGCTTTGGGGCAGCACACCCAGCTCTTGGAGCGGGTGCAGGCAGAGGACGAGACACCCCTGGTGGGAAGGGCAGCTGAATACGGGGCTCGGCTTCAGCATCGCCCACCCAGCGCACCCCAAGAACCAAACCTGGCGGTTTCAGTGTCATCTAGAACCTGGTTTACTCGGTGCACCTAAATCTGACTTGCTTGCAAGACGGGGGCTCGCCCCCACTGCAGCCAGGGAAGGGATGGAGGCGCCGGCTGGCAGCAGCATCCCGCATCTTAATTACTCAGAGTAACTAAATACGTAGCACAGACGGACAAGACAGCACCACGTCTGAAACTCTGCGCTGGCTCCTGCAACGCGGCCGGCGCTCCCCAGATCTAGGTGTGAGCTGAGAGGGCGAGGGGACATCAGAGGGGACACCAGGCGAGACCCGAGCCTCACGCCGAGCCACGCGCACAGCAGCAGGACCAGGCACGACAGCACAACACGCAACGACCTCCGCTCTCCGACCACGCCAAACCCAAATCGTGACTTTGAGGACATGAGGGACTGTGTAACAGTTTTTCCAGGGAGAGGTGTGCTCCTTACCCACCCGGGGACTACCGCAGCCATCCTGCCTCAGCTGTCCCTAAGAGAATTGCCGGGGAAGTGCTTTAAAACCACTGCAAATAATTTTGTATTTAAAAATTACTCAATTTGTTGATGCTTATATACAAGAGTCAGTTCTTGTGCTATAAATGTTATGATTCATTGCTTCGTTTCTTTTCTTTTTTCTTTTTTTTTTTGAAAAATACACTAAGAGACAAGAGCTGCTTTGCTATTTTCTAATGAAGACACTACTCACGCTTAAATATCCAGTATTTATCATAGTAACAAATTCAAACAGTAAAGTGCACCCATTTACAGAGAGAACAGATGGAAAACCATTAGTGCAAGAATCCTGTGAAAAATGTAACACGTGGTATTGTGAAAAAACCTGCACGCTGCAGTATTCAAGCCTTCTTTCAGCTTGGTGTTTGTGTTCAAAGTGTGAGCTGTTTTCTTTTTCCCTTAAAACATCTTCATAAAGCCAAAAGTTACACACAGAAGTGCTGTGAGGGGACGTTTCGGAAGGACAGTACGGGGAGCACAAGGCAGTGGGTAGCGAAAGCGAAGCGCGGGCAGTTCTCACATCGCTGCTCTCGGACTGTCCCGTTTGCATCTCAGAGAACTCGCTCACGGCTGAAGCCGTATAGAACAGGGACGGGGCTGAACTTGGTGACTCTTTCCTTTCAAAGAAGCAACTAAAGGTAGGAAGCCACTCACTCGATCAGAAAGCTGGAGGATGGGAGGCGTTCAGCAAAGCGACTGGTGCTACTCCAGACCCACGGATATGCGTGTCCTAGCTACAGGGGCACTGTATGTGGAGCAGAGGATTGGTTACTCCTCACAAAGCAGAACATGGTGCTTCAGAAAAAAAGAGGAAGAAAAAAAAATCATCACACCCCCTTCGCAAGGAGAGAAATAGTGCATGGAACTGAGTGTCCCCGCGGCCGCGGGGAGCCCGCCCTACCGAGGGGTCCCCTAGTCCGCTCCCCACTTTACAGAGCCCTGTGATAAAGCAAAGTATCAGCACTGGGTTGCACCTTGAGGAAGAAAACTCCAACCTCAATCCAAATACTGGCTTGGACAAAGACCAAAGAGCCCAGAAGAGCACAAAAATCTCCAAACCCCACGGAGGAATCCCCGCTCCAAACGCTCTCGATGTGTCTATGAGACACAAGCCTCCATCATCCCAAGGTGTGCACGTCCCAGTTTGCTCTGAGGCAACGAAACAGCAACGAGATGTGCTGAGTGACACACAGAAACAAAAACCAAAAAAGCCCCATCGAAGCCAGGGTTTGCTTAAGAGTTTTGGACCAAGTCCTTAGCTGGTGTAAATGGATGTAGTTGCACTGATGTCGTGCTGGGGATATGCTCATTTACACCAGCGGAGGCTGGACCCCATGATTTGGTTCAAGAAGTCTTGCAAATCTATTCACGTAGCCCTTTGGAAACACCGAAAGGTATCGCTCCTCCTGCTCAGCACTGAAATCGCTCCTAAGAGTTGATATGAGTGAGGCTCAGCACGGGCAACAGGCACTATTTTGCTTTAAAACAAGCTACAGGGTTATCACTCTCCCCCCTGTTCATCCCACCCTTCGCCCTCAGTAACTGAAAAGGCAGATTACAAACCCACCAGTAATAAATGAATCTGTAAAGAAAGTTCATCCCCCCCCCCCAAATTTCAGAGAGTAATTGAAACATTACTGAAAATCCTATAAAAAGGATTTTGGAACCGTCCCCTGCTTTCCACACTGTCTTGATGTGATTTGCATTTGTTTAATAAAAATAAGAATAAAAAAACCCAACCCAAACCAAAAAATGTCCTGAAATATATCGCATAAATAAATTATAAATATCTCTCTTTTAACTACAGCTCCTTAAAAAGCAAAACCACTATCTCCCCCATTTACGAGTACGGAACATGGCAATGGCTTTCCAAGACTTTGGGAATGGATCTTAGAGGGAGATGGATCTCCTGGGAGGGAGCGAGCTGGAGGGAAGGGATGCTGCAGGGCTGGGTTTGCTGAAGGACCCCTCCTGCCTCGGGAACCATTGTGCCACACTATGCATCCTCATCATTACAAAAAAAAAAGAAAAAAGAAAAAAATTAAAATTGGCAATTTTCCTCCTTGAATAGCACTTTCTAAATCTGTTTTTTTTCCCTTGCAAGTAGAAACTTCACAAAATGAAGCTCCAAAAAAGAAAATAATTAAAATTTGCATTTTTTTTTCCTTGAATACCACTTTCTAAATCAGTTTTTTTAACTTGCAAGTAAAAACTTCACCAAATGAAACCCAAAAAAAGAAAATAATTAAAATTTACAATTTTCCTCCCTGAATACCACTTTCTAAATCAGATTTTTTTTCTTCTTCCTTGCAAGTAAAAACTCCACCAAACGAAACCCCCAACGCCCCCAGTGAAAACGTGGTGCTGTGTGTGAGGTGCAGTCACCTGCTAATGTGTGAAAGAAGAAGTTCTCGTAATCCCTGTTCAGGCCAATTCCTTTGGCTGATTAAAACGCATACGAAGGGCCAACCTTGATCTCTCAATGCTTGTAAAATGCCCCAGAGCAAATCGGTGTTGGGGCAGCTGGCAGGTGGCCTGCAAAGCAGCAGAGCATTGCGTGACCCCCACCCCTTCGGGCCGATGACGTAATTAAATAACGAAGGAATCCCACTCGGATTAAAACGCTATAAACCAGATGAAACAGGATGGTTATTGTGCATAGCTACTGGGTACTAAAACACATCGTGCTCTTGCTCTCTGTGGGTCATTTGCTCCGCGGGGCAAAGAGCCAAACGACCCCTCTAGCACGGGGACCTGCGGATGCAGCCTTGGGAGAGGCTCCTGTGATCCCTGCTCTGCTCCCGCTCGGAATTCTCATCAGAATTGTCTAAGAGCTCATCGAGACAAAAGAAACCAATTTAGATCAAACGCGATCGTCTCTTGAAAAAGAGCTGGTTACCTCCCGCTGCGTAGGGGCTATTTCTGGACCACCCCACACCACGTACTAAGATATCCTGGTTGGGAACTTAGCTGGAATTGGGCAAACGATACTGGCTCGGCTGATGTTGGCTTCACGGTCAGCTGGGGAACGAAAGGGCTGGAGCACGTGCATGGCTGTCTGACCACCACACAAAGTACCGGAGAAACTTGGTCATGTAGCTACCAAAGAGAAATAAAAATAATAATAATAATATGCATGGAAATCAAGCTTGGAAGTGTGTGCTGAAAACATGAGGGTCTTACTCCAACAAGCGTCTTTTACACATTAGACTCCACAAATGGTCTCTTTGGTTTGATTGGGGATGTCTGCCCTTGCCTGGAGTCCCTGGAGAGCTGCCTGTACAGGTTGTCCTGGTAGGCCTGCGCCACAGGCAGCGTCCTTGCCACCTTGACGTCGGGATACGAGGAGGCTTGGGTGACTCTCTCCAGGAGGTCTCCCCGGGACCCATTGGCCAGCATCCCATGGGGGCTGTAATAGTCTTCCTCTAGCAAATGGCCATTCTGTGCATTGTTGGTTTTGTTATAAAAGGCAATGTTGCTGATTGAAGAAGGCGGGCTAAATGATTCTGGCTGGGGGAGATTGCCAGGAGATGTAGGACTAATGACAGTGTCCACTGATGACACAGCCCAGGTCCGGTTCTGCTGATGGAGATGGGGGTACTGCTGAGTCCGAGCGGTTTTATCTATGATTCCCATGAACGGCGTGGTCCGGGAACGGGCTGGCTCGCTGGGGTAACCCCCCTGCGTGGGAGAGACCGGAGAGAGTTCATCGCACGACCTGTCGTAAGCTGGCTTGAGAGGAATCTCCATTTGCTGAATCGAAGCGGAAGGGCGGAAGTTGGGAGTCAGGTTGGAGGTGGAGGAGATGCTATTGCTGGAAGGAGAGAAGCGGAGGCCAACGCTCTGCGAGTGGAGCAGGGGCCTTGGAGTCGGCGGGTGAGGCTTGATTTCGCTGGGATTAACTGTGATGGGCCTTCTTATGAGATGAGACACATCTGGAGAGCCCAGCTGGCTGGCGGGGAGGGAAGAACGTTCCAGGTCAAGCTTCGAGTGACACACTGGGTAGTAGGAAGCGGACTGGCTTCGCCCGATCTGGGGTGTCTGGCTGTATCTCATACCCCCCCTGTATGCCGAGGACGGTCTCTGCGGAAGGTCTTCTTTTGCCAGCCCTCCATGCTGACAGATCGCCCCTGCGCTGAGGCTCGCCTGAACATGCTGCACGGGTCTGCTGTCACCAACGATGCCCCCAATAGAGCCCTGGTAGACCAGCCTGCTCTGGCTAACCCCCATTTCCCCTGACGCTGACTGGTACTTGGTGGCCATCGAGTGGGCAACCTGGCTGTAAGCACCGGTTGGGATTACAGTACTGGAATGGACGGCTGAGCTGGGCTGGTTGCTCCTCACAATCTGCGCCTTGGCGGGCTGGAGCCTCAGGCCCTGCTGCGGCACGGCCACGGGGAGCTGGGGCATCTGGAAAGATCTCTGCGTCATCTTGGACAACGGAGACTTTGGTCTACCGGGGAGCTGGCTGACTCCGCTAGGTTCCTGCTGATAACGAACTGGGGAACCGGACTGTGACCTATAGACGCTCATGCTTTCTGCTGGGGGGCTGGCACGATACTGAGGGCCTCTACGAAGAGGAGAAGGTGGTGGGCTTTGATATTCCTTCCCTTGACTTCCAACAGGAGGTGGGCTGAAGCGGTAAGAGGAGCCCTGGTGAGCAGGGGACGTGTGCGGAGGACTGGGTCTATAATGTGAGTTCTGGTGCGTTGGAGACAGAGCAGGAGACGTGGACTGGTACCCTTGCCTGGTTGGCGAACCCACGGAGCTATTGGACCTGAAATCAAAGACCTGATGAGAGCCAAGAGGTGAGCCAGAAATATAGGCTGAGTCCCTGTGAGCTGGGGATGGGGGTGGGCTCTGGATGATGGGCAGCCCTTGGTTTGGCCTGGACTCTGTCTGCAAGCCAATGGAAACATTTTCTACATCCTGCTCAAGGTATTCCTCCTCAAAGATATCTTGCACCGAATAAAGCTCTTCGTGCTGGGCTTCGGGTTCAGGCTCCACCGGGAGCGGCGGCGGCTGCTGCTGCTGCTGCTGCTGCACCTGCCTGCACTCCTCTTCCACCCGCATCAGCAGCCGCTGGATCTCACGGTTGTTGGGACACAGCTTGATGGCCTCGTTCAGGTCCTCCAGGGCTGCTGAAAACTGCCTGCTTGACAAAGGGATAGAAACAAGAGCTGAAATTACTCTGGATTTGAATGGAGCCCTTCTCGGAGGCTCCGGAGGGTTAAGCTGCTTGTCCGTGTTACTGAGGGAGATGTCTGTGATTGCCACCGCTCGCTGCGCCTCTCAGACTCTGCCTTGTGTGTCTCACTCGGATTTATTTTATTCAAACTGAAGGAAAACACTGCCAGCCATTCTGGAGAAGAGGAGAACACTCTCCTGAGATGGCACAACCCAGACGAGCAAAAACGCCTGTCCTTTGCAATGTCTGTTACGGGCTAATTAATGACTCCTCACAGCACCACCACCAGCTTTGTCCCTGCCTTAGCAAAGGGAAAACCAAAGCATCGATAACCAAGAGCCAAGCTCACCACTACTGTAAACAAACTCAGCTTTGACAGAGTTGCAACTGCCTACACCAGTGAAAATTTAACTTCTGCCCGATGCCAAGACCACACAGCGTCAGGGCTGGCTCCAGAGCTCAGTGGCTCCCACGGGTCAGCGCTTTAGGCGAGGCTTGTCTCTCCAGTTTTGCAATGGATTTGGCTAATTTCTTCCGAATGAAGGAATTGAGCAACGTTAGGGAGCCTGCAAGCCCCTGGGGAAGCCTTTGCAAGGGAAAGGCGAGCTCGTGAGGAGTACAAGGAAGGTGGCAGTTTGGGGAAGGGGGCTGTCATTTACAGGGACACTGTTCGCTTTTGAGAAAAAACATCTGTTTGAACACGATTATCATCTGGGGGTATGATCTCCGTGAAAAATTCCCCAGCACCTCCCAACACCAGCCTAAGGTTTTGCACAAGCCATTGAAAACCAGGTGGAGGAAGGAAAAGCCTCCTGTTCCCCGGACTGTGCTGAACCTCAGGGGTGCTGCTGGGCACAAACTGGGAAATAAGGGAAGTCAGTGGTGGCAGTTTCTGATGGAGAGACCTGGGGAGAAAAGGATGCTTGTATGTGGGGAGGTGTAGGAACCCAGTTCCTTACAAGTGTTCTGGAAACAATGGAGAGGAAAACCATTAAAGGAAAGGCATTGGGCCAGAGTGGCTCAGCCGCCAGGACTTCAGGTCAGGGCTTCACCTCCCACAGCAAGCCCCGGTGGGTCAGGCAGCGCTGCACCAGCTGGGCCAGGAGCCCCGTTCCACCCATCGCCTCCAGCAGGGAAGGTCGAACGGTGGCAGTGTCTGCTGAGCTGGGGTGTTTGCACAGGCGGACTCGATGTATCTCCGGCTACGGGTGATTCTCTGCACTGCCACACCAGGCACTTTGGCTGCTGCTTAAAAGCGAGGTGCGTGCAGTGACTGTGTGCCCAGTCCTTGCGCACAGGACTCAGAAGCAAGCCCTCCAGCTCATTTAGGAATGGCACTGATAGGTTTTCAAATTTAATCTCACATCTTTTAGCCTTCAGGGAGGTTAAAATGGGAATCCTCTGGGCTCCATCTGAGATGCAGAGAGATCCCAGTGCCGCAGCTCTCTAGGAGCTGGTTGCAGTGCTCTGAGCACAAGCTGTGGCTAAAAGCTCCCCGGCTGGCGCTTGCCTGCACAGTCACTGCACAGCTAGTCAGCAGTTTCTGCCTTGCAAAAAGTGCTGTAGGACAGAGAGATTCATAGATTTTAAGACCAGAAGAGATCACTGTGATGAATGAGTCTGTCCTCTTGCACAACACAGGCCACAGGGCTTCCACGAGTCCTATTTTGCTTTGAGTCCAAGTTGTGGTTGAACTAAAGCATGTTTTTAATAAAAATACCCAAACTTTTGGTGTAAAAAGTTTCCAGTGTAGTAAGATGTTCAGACAAAGTTCAACCTAAGAAGAACCTCCCAAAACGTTTCAGCTGTCTCCAGAAATTACCAAATGAGGGAGGGTGTTACTTTGGAGTTTGAGAAGTTTGTAATCCCATTAATGAATACTCCTTTGCCATTTCTTCCCGTGCAGTACTGTTTGGCACGGTGGGTGCCTGCATTGGTGTGGCCAGGCTTGAAGAGACCAGAGAGACCAGCCCCTTGCACTTTTCCCTCTCTCTCCTCACCTGCTGCTGCGTTTGGCCCTTGCTCTTGCATAGTAAGCTTCGTAAGATTTCGGTTTCAGCTCCAGTGCTTTAGTAGCAAATTCCTCCGCCATTCCAAAATCCTGTCATTACAATAGGTGTGCAGATAAGTAATTGAATAGATACAGAAATAAAAATATATACACTTTGGGAAGAAAACAAACTTAATATGGACTTCCCCCCCCCCCCCCCCCCCCCCTGCATGTACTATGGAAAACTTGAGGGTATTGGCATATTTCACATGGATTCAACATTGTTTACAGCCTACAACGCTACAACGGCACGTCCAAAGGCTCAAAGCCCTCTCCTACCACCCGATGCTGTTGGCACCCCCAGAGGCCAGCGTGCTGCTGGCTCCATCCTCGTTGATTGTGTCCCCAACAAGTGCATGCAATCCCTCTCCAACAACCTACAGTCTTGAGGAAACATCTGGTCTTGCAGAGGCTGGAATGTAATCTCACAAAGAATTTTTTTTCCGTAGTTGAAAGCGATAGGAAACCTTTCCCACGCCCTCTGCTTCCCACTCTGCAACACAGTGACATACTTCGAAGGGGCTGAATAAAACTGCACATGAAGAAAGGGACTACGGCATCTCAATAGCTACAAGCAGGACTTTCCTGGCGAAGGTGTCCGACCATTCCACTGCTCCTTGCCTCTCCCCTACACCTCAGCTGGGAGACTCGTTTGGGAGTGGGGATGGAGCCTGCTCTGGGTGCTTTGGAGTGGCAGTGCCGCGAGACCAGGCTGTCAGCTATGGTTCAGACTGAGGGCCGTCCTCCCTTGCTTTCTCCTGAAAGCTTCACATAACTTTAAGCTCAGCTGAAACTCAGCACTTGTGAAGGAGCTCTATTCCCAGTGGAGGAGCTTTCATTTCACAACCAAACATTGCTTTGGATTGCTGACTTGGGCTATGACCCCGAGCAGTTCTTGGGGAAGGGACTGAAGAATACTCCTGATGTGTTCAAAAGCAAACTCTTGCTGAGGCCTGGCCTGGGGAAGCTCATACTTTTGTTTGTACCTTCAGTAGCAGTTACTGAAGAGATATTGTCCAATAGAGTAAACTGGGAATGTAGGCAAGAGGTGGGTACCTTTATGGTCTCATCTATAGGCATGAGAACTGCAGGAGCAATTACAACCCTCTGAAAATCTCTATCACAAAACCTGGGATTCCCCAATTAACAATAAACCAAAAATCCTGTCCTTACAAGTGCAGGCTTAGCTGTGAGTTGGCTCATTTAAAAAGAAGGTTCACACTTTTCCTACAAACTGTGGTGTCTCTTCCCCAGCATTAAGATTTGACTTCCACTGCTTTACATCTTTCTCCCTCACAGCTTAAAGCAATGAAGGTGTCACAAAAACCCCTTCCCCTCCTTGACTGGCTCATGGCCTCGGTGGAGATTTCACTTTTCGAGTCTGTGGAGACTTTAAGTTGTAGAGGTGAAAGCCTCTGCACAGAGAGCAAGGGGGAGGTGGCACCAGCCTGCTGGGAGAACAGACATGCTGCAGGAGCTGGTCGCTAGATGCTGCTGGATGGGAGTGGGGAGAGTGACAGTGATCTGGCAGTTCTGGGAGGAGAGGGAGTATGTGGGGGTGTTTCTGGATGAGTCACTGCCCTGGGGAAGTGCTAGCCCCCTAAGCATATGCTCCTTCATTTTAAATTAATTAGTATTCCAAGGAGCACATCTCCTGGCTCCTCCCTCACTGCTGCCCTAGAAATCTGGAAAATGCCTCCGCCCCCAATTCACATCATCATCAAAAGGGAGTAATAAAAAATTCAAAAAGCTATAAACATAGCAATGAATTTTTAATCATCAGAAATGCATATTAAATCATTACTTCTTTTGAATTATAAAATGCCAGTGCTCTGTGAAGGACAACCAAGTTACAGAGAGGAGAGATCTCGAGGTCAAAGCACGACTGGAGGATGGACACGTCTCTGTGCAGAGGCAGTAAGCTGGCAGTTTGCACTTAAGGACACGAAGAAGGGGGAGACTTACGTTCATTTTCCTTCGACATCGGGAGAGGTTGAGGAGGAGTGACACCTTGAGCTCACGGAAGGTTTTCAGGTCTTCTCCAAACCCTTCCCTGGGGAATTTTTTCAGAGCATACTGGTAGCGCTGGGCAGCCTCTTTCACTTTACCTTTCTAATAGAAGGAGATAACGTCAAAACACATCCTTTACTTTGCTGCAGAGCACTCACTCACCAGCCCCATGAACGTTTTAGATGGTTAAGGTAACATGACTTCACTATTTAGCTCTTTTTCTAGAGAGGAAACCCAGAACATTTGATCAAGTTAACATCTGATCTGGAAATGCAGATGCCCTGCGAAAGTTGAGTTCTCCCACTTTGTACAGAGTTGTCACGCTACAGGGGGAAACACAACAGAAATTGTATTTCCTTGATACAGCTCCATCTGGTCTCTGGATGGGCTTTTGAGCTGGGTGATCAGTAACCCATTTCTGGAGAATATCCTACACTCGAAGTTTAATAAGCACCAGGGAAGGTGAAGAATATGAAGTGTGGGACTGTGGGTGGAGTTCCTGGGGCTCAGAGAAGCCTCTGCAATAGCACAGATAGATGTTATGGCACCGATGGGGCTCTGAAGTTGGGACAAACAGGTTGAGATTCATCTCCCTGGACTTTAGATGTCTAAAAATTAGGTGTCTACATCTAAGCCTATCAACTGGGTTCCTTTTATAGTTATTGGGACGCAGCAGTCACCTTCAAAGGGTGACTCATCTTTGCTATTTTGGGCACCTATTTTTGGGATGGGATGATCTGCACCCTGGAGGGGGGCAGCCATGGCAGCTAGGGTGAAAGAAAGAGGGCAAAATGGGATCTAGGACGCATGCAACTCATGATGACCCAGACATAAATTTTGCAGCTACGAATAGTAAGCTTTAAAACCTTGTAGACTCAGGTTTCTCGGTTGTATCATGTATCTCTGGCAGATAACTCCAGTTACAATGCCAGCTTTGCATATTTTCTGCTTCACCCTTAGAGCCCAACAGTGAATCATTGTTGTACTTGCACATTTTGTGTGTGTGTGCAAATCTCCAGGTTTTAAAGATCGGCTTAAAATAAACACAGAGCAAAAAAGACTCTCTAACTGCAATGGTGGAATGTCTCCCATGGGCTAAAGGACATGACAAAGCCATCTGTGTCCTGACAATCTGTTTTCATTGAAAAAAGTTTCTTTCACAAGTTTTTTTCTGGGATATACTCTCTTGTTGCCTTGTTCCACAGCAGTGAGCCTGCTAGGTAATGTCAGTGTTGCCAGATCTGATGCAATGACATCAGCACTCTGAATCTCTGTAAAACACTTGGGTTCTGGTGTTTTCAAAGAGGAAATGAAGTGCTGGCTCAAATCCAGAATGCAGAGAGACTTGGCTTTGCTTCAGCTTCGTTTGGCAATCAATCCCCCTCCCCAACCCCACTAACCAAAACCAAACAGTCTGCAACACAAGGAATGCTGCGAGCAGTAGCTTTTACTTGCCACAGGTTAAGGCAGCAGCATTGCTCAGTCAAAACCTCATACAAAGCCATCCTGCAAGCTGCATCTGTCCAATTTTTTCCAAAAACACTCTTCTCACCTTATAAAACATGTCTCCCTCCTCCATCAGCTTGCTCAACAGGATGATCATGATGTCTGGTTTGGAGGTTGCCATCGCCCATGTTGCTGGACCTGTAGTGTACAGGATGCATGATGGGTAAAAAACTCATACAATGCAAGGGTGGTAGGAAGCTGGGTGGAAAAAATATCCTGGGGTGGGAATTTCTGCTGGAGAGAACAACTTGGCATGGTCAAAGGGCAGAGCGCTCCAAATGACTGAGCTGGCAATTCCTCTCACAAATTAACGTCATCCACATTGCAATAGTTTTCCTTTAAGGCTAAGCCTAATCACCACCACCACCACCACCAAGATGGTCTGGGAAATGATGGGAGCCATTTCCACAAGAGGGCAGTGCTGATTGTGGAACCAGCTGGGGTGGGGGAAACAAAACATATTTAAAAGGAAAAATCAGAGTGGTTACATAAAAGCATTTCTAAATTAAAATCTCTGCAAGTGTACTAGGAAATCTGCAGTTCGACTGTCGATAGGCGTTTTGTGTTTAAGTGGATTGTGATTTCCAGCTTCACAAGGTGTGAAATACTAGAGTAGAAAAATCCATTAAGGTGGAAAATACGACGGAGGAAAGGTTGTGTCTAAGTGCTGCTGGTGCCGAAGCTGTCCGTTGGGCTGGGGACACGCTGGCTCTGCGCAGGGGTCCGCCCATGCAGAGCCAGTTTTTATCTCAAGGACTAATATTGGGAGGGAAGGGATGGCAAAAATTTAGGGACAACTCATTAGTGTGGGTGAAGAATAAGTCAACCATATTCTATAAGTAGATTCAGTACATTTTGGGGGAAGGAGGTTAGTTTTTGAGTTCAAGTTATTCTCTGCAACAGTCATTAAAAAATTATTTGAAGGTGAGGTAAATTAAAAGATTAGAGGTGTTGGGGACGCATGCAGGCTAAATCAAACAGGAGAAAGCAAGGCTGACAAAGCTATCAGATCGAAGCTGATGCTGACAGCAATGAGATATACCTCGTGGGCGACTCGGTAACGTCTGACAACCTTCAAAGAAAGGAGAAAACAAAAAGTTGTAGGAGAGAGGGGGGAAAAAAATGGATGAAGGTGAAAAAAAAAAAAAAAGAAAGGAAAAAAAGCAGCTGTGAGAGGCAGGCAGCAAAGAAGCCAATGCACCAGCAAAATCCCCTTTCACAGGAAAACGTAACGTGAGCAGCTGTGTGGCGCAGTGCAGGTAACACTAAGATCTGGAAGCATACACAGAGCAAGTGAATGCAGCAGCTCACAGCAATGCATGGACATAGTACGTTTGTCGACTCAGACTAGTAAAGATAGAAAAAGCATTACCAGAGGAAAGACCTTGCCAAAGAAACAGTTGTTTATTGATTAACTTTACTAAGTAATACGACAGGAAAAAAAAAAAAAATTCCCCGTTTTAATAAAGAGAACAAGGCAGTCATGACTGCTGTCGGAGTACGAAGCAGCAGTTGGGGCTGAGGCTGCCTCTGTGTTACGCTCAAGATTTTCTAGCAAGCCAGCCCCGCTGCTCGGAGTCCAGCCTAAGCACAGAGCCGAGAGCGCACTGTCCCCTTGTCCCTACCTATCTTTGCTCCTTTCTTCAGCAGAGTGACGACGACCGAGGTGTTGCGGCACCCCACTGCCCTGTCGAGGGGGCGCATCCCGCTGTAGTCAACGTGCTCAATCATGGCCCCATGGTCCACCAGAAACTGAACCTGCAACAAGAAGCCCAGCAGTCAGTTCTGCTCCTGGGCGGGAGTTTCGCACACCGCTGGGGATATACAACCACCAAAAACTTGTTCTGCTCCACTGCCGGGGCTAAAACCACCTCTGTAGGGGCGGAGGGGACATCGGCCTCGTGTTATACTCTGGGGAAGCACCTGCACGTATGGAGGTCAGGACTCTCTATGCTTATATGTACTATTTTAAGGCTTTTACACCAATTCCCCGTTTCCTTTTTTTAAATTATTTTTTTGTTTAAAGTTTTCATCTCAGCTGAAAAAGCCCCTGCAGCTCCTCCAGCCCAACCATGACCCTCCCCCTGACCCTTCCCAACTCCCCCAGATCCCTCAGCGCTGGCTCAGCCCGACTCTTCAACCCCCCCAGGGATCCCGGGGACTCCCCCCTGCCCTGGGCAGCCCATTCCAACGCCCAACAGCCCCTTCTGCACAGAAATCCTTCCTCAGAGCCAGCCTGACCCTGCCCTGGGCAGCTTGAGGCCATTCCCTCGGGGCCTGGCGCTGGGGCCTTGGCTCCAGAGACTCATCCCCCCTCTCTGCCCCCTCCTGGCAGGGAGTTGCCGAGGGCCAGGAGGTCTCCCCTCAGCCTCCTCTGCTCCAGACTGAACCCCCCCAGTTCCCCCAGCTGCTCTCCTGTACACATTCCAGGCCACTCACCACCTCTGCATCGCCGTAGAAAGCTGCCAGGTCCAGCGGAGTGCGCCCGTTTTTATCCGCGTGGTCGGTGGCAGCTCCGTTCTCCACCAGGGAACGCACCACGGCGAGGTGCCCCTTCAGACAGGCCCAGCTGAGGGCTGTCAGGCCCTCCTTGTCCATCAGAGAAATGGAGGCGCCTGAAAGAACAAGGGTCAGTTCACTCGAGAGCTCTCCGCTGCCGAGCACCACGATACAACAAACCATCCACTTAGCAATGAAAGCTTATTCTTTTAGAGAGCTATTTACATAATTATTAATTACTTTATTAACATTTCTCCCACCACAGTTCCCCACCCTCCATGGCAACTTCAAATGCACCGATAGGAACTGAGGCAAATGAGTTTATTCACACCAAGCTGCAAACTTTTTCGCACCTAGCTCTTGTAGGCTTTTCTGGCAAACATCTTCTGAGCAGCAGGGTGGATTTGACATCCCTCATCTGACACATCAATCTTTCTTTTTAACTGTTTTATTTTTTGTTGTTTTTTAATCAAAATCCCATTCCAGCCTGTGTGAGTCAGAGATGAAGACCATTCTGCTGTTTCAGCAGGTCATGGTTTACCAAGGGGAACTAAGTCAATTCAGCTCAGTTCTTCTAAAAAAGCACATATTTTCCCCTCTTCATTCCCCTCCCCTTTACCCAAATCGACACAATTTCCAGCAGTATTTCTCCCTGAACTTTACCCAATATAAATACAGCGTTGTGGGATAAACTACTGCCAACTGCAAGCCAAGGAGAGAGGGACTTGACATTTTCTTGGATGAAGAAATCGCGCTGCCATATCAACGGGTCAGTATTGCTTCATATGGCATATGGATGCGCATATGAGATCTGAACAGCAGCATTAAGTGAACACTCCTCTCTTCGTGGCATAAAGACAACTCCTGTTGCCATGGCACAGGCAGGGCTCTGGCTCTCGAGCGTGCAGAACAGATTCGTATCAGCTCTGCTCCTCTGAGGAACTGTGGCTACCTGCGGGATGCTCCTGCCAGCAGGCTGGGATGAATTGCTGCTGCAGTGTTTTTCTCCTGTAGGTAAACTCGAAACCGCCCAGCATGAGATCTTCACTGGCTCCAGAAAGCTCAGTGAGTGGGGGAGTAACGTGAATTTCCTGAACCCTCCCGTTCACCCCAGCTGACGTATCCCCCCGTGAGCACACGTCATCCAGATGATAGCAAACTGATAAGCGTTCCAGCTTGCCTTGCACAACTTCTTGTTTGCGGAGGAGCACAACACATGAACATTTGCTTGGGATACGTTCAGAAACCTCCGCCCAGAGCTCTCGGCACAGCCACAGCATCCTGCTCGCCGCAAACGGCAGCGTGGAGTGCCAGCGAGGGAGGTGGCAAACCACGGCTGGGGCAATCTGGTGTGCCAAGGAGGGACACTGGCTGCAAATGTACAAGCTAAGGGATGACAACATAAACTCCCAGCATCTTGCCAGTCTTCTCTCACGTTGCCCACGCTGCACCCAGGAGCCCTCCTGAAGCTCTGTGAAATCTCTCCAGATGATCCTTAACTGACCTAAGGCCAACTTCTGCTCAGCAAAGCAAGATAAAGCCTTGTTTAATTCCTTCTTATTTGTACCAACTACTTTCTTGCAATCAAACCATCCAAGTCTTCTCTTATGTTTTCCCTCTGACTCCTCTGGAGCAGGTGAGAAAGCTGCAATAAGAGGGAAGGCTGGAAAGCCACATCGTCACTCCACCTTCCCACTCTTGTCCCAGTCCAGCAGAAGAGGCACACCACAGGGTGACAGGCACAGGCTTCAAGGTATCACTGCAGCAATGCAAGCTGAAGGTCTAAGCGAGCAGCCAATGTGCACCGCTTCAGAAATGCCAGCACACTGCTCCGAGGCAGGCTGGGCACAACCTCCGCAGAAGCGCCGAGCTCCTGACGCAGCCGTGGCTCCCAGCAGAACCTCTGCCGGACTCTGAAGGCATCTTCCACTCCTTTGGGGATCTCTGACCTACTCAGCATTAAGGCAGTCAGACATGAAACAAACTGATGGTTTTGAGGGCAAGTGCCTTAAGGTGACCTCATGGGACCGATCCCTGCTGCAGTGGGAAACATTTTGTCTGGGTAAACCCAGCTTGCTTCTGAGAAGGGCTGGGTGCTCCTTCCCTAAAGCCATTAACTGGCTAAATGCAAGAGTTTATGATTTAATGTTACCCAGTGGGCACACAACAATGAACCAGTGTCATGGTTTTGGCTGGGACAGAGTTAATTTTCTTCCCAGTAGCTGGTACAGGGATTATGTTTTGGATTCTGTGTAAGAATAACGTTGATAACACAGGGATGTTTTAGTTGTTGCTAAGTAGCACTTATCCTAAGTCAAGGACTTTTCAGTTTCCTGTGCTCTGCCAGCGAGGAGGTGCACAAGAAGCTGGGAAGGAGAGCTGACCTGAACTAGCCAAAGGGCTATTCCTTACCATAGGGCGTCATGCCCAGTAGAGAAACTGGGGGGAGTTGGCCGGGAGGGGCCGATCCCTGCTCGGGCATCGGCCAGCGGGTGGGGAGCAACTGTGTCTTTTCTGGGGCTTTATTTCTTTCTCTTTTTGCAAATTAATTCTCTTTTTGCAAATTAATTTTCATTATTATTAAAATTTAGTCATTAAACTGTTCTTATCTCAATCCATGAGTTTTACTTTTTTTTTTTTTTTTTCCAGATTCTCCCCCCATCCCACTGTGGGGGAGGAGCAAGCGAGCGGCTGCGTGGTGCTTAGCTGCTGGCTGGAATTAAACCACAACAGCCAGCTAAAGAAAAGAAGAAACAACTGACACTTGGAGCATCAAAAAAGTAGCAGGGAGTGGGCAGGATGGTCAGACCCTTCCTGTACAGAGGCTGCACCCAAAGCTGTGGTGCCCAGGCAGGGTGTGACAGAGGCACAAAACAGACAGCGAGGAGCAGCATCCACACGTACCATGGACCCCAAGGTAGCAAAAGCTCAGGGGGATTGATTTTTGCAGGAAAACGAGATTCAGAATCAAGCTCTCTCCAAACAGAATGAGCATCGAGATTTATTCTGCTTTGTGTAACACGGGTCCATATAAATATCAGCTTTAGCAGAGCTGCTACCAGGGAAGTTTAATTCACCGTTCATGTGTCCATTACCTGTAGGTGTTAAGTGAGAGCAGTAGGTAACTCTAAAAATTTGGATTTCAAATTGATTGATGACCGCAACTTGGTTAATAAAAAGTGTTTACAAACGCTGACTGTTCATCAAGTACAGTCAAATGAGATTTGCTTTGCAACACACTAATTAATGCTTATGGCTTATGATTCACACACTTCGATTTTAATGAAACACTGAACAGGACTGTCAAAGCCATTTTAATTAAAATACACCATATATCACTGTACTCTACCCAGGCTTGAACTAACTTCTCAGGACCATGTGTTATAGCATATTTAGTGGAGTTTATTAAGCTATTTAGAAGACTGGACCTTCTGAAGTAAAGAAGATTTTCAAATTTTGACTTCTTGAGCTCTCAGTGTCCAAAGAGCCAGGGAAACAATACAACATTTGCTGGTGATCCCATAGCCAAAATCAGATTATCTGGTATTTTCATCCTCCACTGAAGCAGTCAGTCCTAAGCAACATGCACAGTTCTCAAGCCTGGCAAAAAAAATCACTTACTTTAAGCCTTTTACACAGATTCAGTCAAGCTGCAAAAGAGGCCACATTAAACTCAAACATGGAGAGTGTTAAATATGAAATTTAAAAAAACCCCAGAATGCCACAGAAGAATTGATTCGTAAGAAACTCATGCCTCAAACTGATCTCTGACACATGCCTATGCAGGTTACAGCACTGAACAGCAAGGATCCCCCTGGCCTGTGGCTCAGGACAGACAGGCAGTGAGAAATTTCTTGGAAGCCTGGCAATTTTACAGCGAAAAAATGTTCTTACAACTACTATGTAAAATATTCAAGTGTCTCACATTTTGGCTAAGAGGTCAGACACAGTCACGATAGGAAGAAAATCTCCCTTATCTGAAATAAAACTATCAAATAACAATACAAGAATTAAAAAGCTAGTCCTAGCCAAAAAAATAACAGAAAATTACCCAAACCAACCAACCAACCAACCAACAGTTATTTGTCCAAAAAAAAAAAAAAAAAAAAAAAAAATAATCGTGTTCACACAGGTTGCAGGCGGCGTTTTGTTCTGACTCACCTCAAACACGTACAGCAGAAATGAGTAAAACTGAGCCATGTTCCTGTTGACTGAGTAACTCCTAGTGAAGGAGAGTTATTAGACACTGAAAGTACTGACCAAAGGCAATCCGTGCGTGCAAAGCTGAAGAGCAGACCACCTTTAATTCTGTTTTTTTTTTTCAACAAATACACCCAACCCTTGCCTGTGCCAGGGCCTTACCTTCCTGCTGATATTCGTGTCAAAAATGTGGGCAACAATACTAGCGCTAAAAATAGAAGTGCTAAAATGTGTCCCAAACTCTGGTCCTGGGGTTGAGTCTTTCCTGCCTGTTCCACGGCGATGTTGATGGTTCAATCACATCACTTGTTCATTTATTTTTTTTTTGTCTAAGGGGAAAGCTCCAAGCACGGTTCAAGGGTATATTCTTAACTCAATGCTCAAAGCACCTGTGATATGTCATTTTATTTTCTAACTCAAATGTGTGGTTTTGAAGCTGTTGAGCACCAAACACAGACAAAACTAACAGCCAAGATTAACGCTATGACTATTCTAGTCTTGTTTCTCCAATAAGTTGGACACAGTGCTGAGAACCTCTCCCACCGCCCGATCCAGCGGTGGGATTACAGTCCCCACCCTGACATTACAAACTCCAGCTGTGCAGGAGACAGTGCGGTGGGACTCGCCATGGCTGGTCTCCAGCACACTTCCAAGCACGTGCTCTAACCTTGTGCAAGCAGGAACTCCACTGTGCCCAGATGTCCCTCAGATGCAGCCATCATCAGTGGCGTCCGCCCTTGCTTGTCTGCCATGTTCACATCAGCGCCGTGCGTGAGCAAGAGATCTACGATCTGCAACACACAAAGTGAGAACACACGTTGTACGTAGAGATCCAGCTGGGAGCACACATTGTATGTAGACACCCAGCTGGGAACACATGTTGTATGTAGAGATCCAGCTGGGAACACGTGTTGTATGTAGACACCCAGCTGGGAACACGCATTGTATGTAGACACCCAGCTGGGAACACATGTTGTATGTAGACACCCAGCTGGGAAC